TCAATGATGTCAATATGATTCAAGAAGGATATGGACAAGATGGAGCATGTGCAGAGAGGAGGGTGACCAAAATGGTAAAATGTCTAGAAACCACCAAACCCTATGAAGAGCAGCTTAGGGAACTAGGTATGTTTAGCATGTGGAAGAAAAGGTTAAGAGATGATATGATAGCCTTGTTTAAATATTTGAAGGGATGTCATGGTAAGGATGGAGCAAGTTTGTTTTCTGCTGCTCCAGTGAATAGGACATGGAGCAATGGATGCAAACTACAGGAAAAGAGATTCTACCCAAACATTAGGAGGAACTTCCTGACAGTAAGAGCTGTTAAAACAGTGGAACACACCCCCTCGGAGTTTGGCGGAGTCCCCTTCCTTGGAGGCCTTTAAACAGAAGCTGGATGGCCATCTTTCGGGGTGCTTTGATTGTGAGTTTCTGCATGGCAGAATGGGGTTGGACTGGATGGCCCCTTAGGGTCTCTTCCAACTCTATGATCTATGATTCTATGACTCAAGGACAGGTATATTTTTTGAAATGCATTTTGAAATGCAACCCTTATTACCAGCAAGCAGGTGAGAAAAATGGCCTTTTTTTGCTGAAGCCTCCTACCTTGCAGGTATACTCTGCCTCAGTCTGCCTGTTCACAGCCCGGTAGCAGCGTCCCCCTTCAGTGGGCTCCAAAAGGAGATAAGGGCCAATCTGGGAGACCCTCAGATCCTGGTTTGGGGTGGAAGGGGAACAAGCCAGAGGCTGGAGGCAAGGTGTTAGTCCTTGCACTGGATCAGGACGCTGGCGTTTGGGCTGCGGATCGTCCGCCTCCAATGCATCTTCAACCTCCAGCCGCTTCTTCCGCAGGGTGGCCACAGCGTGACGCTCCTGTGTGAGCAGACTCATCTAGAGAAAGAGAAAATCACAAAGGGTTAAGACAAACCATGGCCCTAGTCCTCAGGGTTTGATCAGCAGCAGCATGCTTTCTCTAGGAATTAAAGGATGTGAACATTCAGAATGGTCTCAAGGCCAATGTAGCAGCAGTTTGGATGCATTTCAGAAGTGATCTAGTTCATTCCAAGGCCAATGCAGTATATCGGCTGCTATAGCATTACTGAGGGCCAGCGTGGTGTAGTGGTTTGGGCACTGGACTGGATTGGAGACCAGAGTTCGAATCCCGGCTCAGCCATGGAAAGCCACTGGCTGATTTCCATCAGCCTTAGCCAGCACACCCAATATTGAACAATATTGCCAGCTACAGTTCAGCAACATATATTTTAACTTTATCAGCTAATATTTATATAATCTCTGCAAACCGCACTCTCTCAGCCTCAAAGGATGGCAACGGCAAGCCTCCTCTCTGAAGAAATTGGCCAAGAAAACCCCACGATAGTTTCCGACTTATGGGTCTTGGTGTCACCATAAGTTGGAAATGACTTGAAGTCACACAACAACAATAGCATGGTTTGGCCTCTGCTTTTAAACCTCTAGAAATGAAGACTTCCAGGTGTTGTTGGACTGCCATTCCCATCAGCCTTAGGCACATACTTAATGCTAAACAATGTTGGCATCTACAGCTCAGCAACATATGTTTTAACTCCATTATCTGATATATGTATTATCTCTGTTTTTATATTGTTATGATGTACAGGAGCCAGTGTGACATAGTGGTTTGAGTGTTGGACTACAACGCTGGAGACCAGGGCAGTTAAAGCGGTCTCAAACTGGATTATTTCTGCAATGTGTTTGGATCTAAAACCCACCTGATCCATAGGGTCGCCTTAGGGTTGCCGTAAATCAGAAATGACTTGAAGGCATACAACAACAGTTATAAGCAATGAAAACTTGAACTGAACTGAAGCCTGAAATGCTGAGCTACACAACCCGAAACATGTAAACAACCAGAAGCATCAGAAAAGCCCTTTGTCGCTCAATGCTGCTAGAGATCCCTGGCCTCGAATATCCAGAAAGATGTCCAAAGTAGCCTCTGATGCCAGCCAAAATGCCAAGGGAGGAGGAAGAGTCTCCGGCAATCACTCTTTCCTTGGCAGTCAGCAGAGCAAATAATGCAGATGATGCAAACCGAGAGCAAGCCTGGCTGCACTCTTCTCTGCAAAGCAGATGACGCAGGTCCTGGAAAGTATGATCCTTCCATTGCTAAGCCTTGCAGAAACAGTTGCAACCATGCAAGGATAAAGATAAAAACAACAGTGGTTTCAGTGCTGGATCAGGACTCTTGGAGATCAGAGTTCGAATCCCCACTCTGCCATGCAAACCCCACTGGGTGACCTTGGGCAAATCACATTCTCTCAGCCTTCGAGGAAGGCAAGGACTCTGAATAAAGCTGGACACAGGGGTGGCAGGTGGCTTCATTTCTGAGTGGGGGTGGCAAATCTGCTCAGAGTTTAAGAGCCACAGCTGCACTGTAGAAATAATGCATTGGCACCACTGTAAGCGCTGTGGCTCCATCCTATGGAATCCTGGGATCTGTAGTTTCACAAACTCCTTAACTTTCTCTGCCAAAGAGTGCTGATGCCTCACAAAACTAAACATCCCAGGATTCTGTAGTTTGGAGCCATGGCAGTTAAAGTGGTGTCAAACGGCATTATTTCTCCAGTGTAGATGCACCCTGAGTCTGAACTTTAAGCGAGCCATTTGGATCTATTTTGGGTGGGCAGTGAGTGACCGGCACCATATTAAAGCTCCTTTAAAGTTTGCAATAAACAATTAACAAACGCTCCCCTTCCCAACCCAGTCACCTATGGGTGATTTTGTCCTAGCCACAGGTGACCAGTCAAATGGCTATTTGCAAGCCCTTTTTGCAGAATTAACTAATGCAGGCATGTTGTTATTGTTGTTGTTGTGTGCTTTCAAGTCGTTGCTGACTTATGGAGACCCTATCATGGGTTTTCTTGGCAAGATTTGTTCTGAGGAGGTTTGCCACTGCTTTCCCCTGAGGCTGAGAGCGTGTGACTTGCCCAAGGTCACCCAGTGGGTTTTATGGCCAAGCGGGGAATTGAACCTTGGTCTCCACGGTTGTAGTCCAACATTCAAACCACTATGCTATGCTGGCTCTCTATTGTCTACTAGTAGATCTTTTGCCATTGCCTTCCTCTGAGGCTGAGAGTGTGTGACTTGCCCAAGGTCACCCAATAGGTTTCATGGCTGAGCAGGGAATCTCACCCTGATCTCCAGATTCATGGCCCAACACTCAAACCACTACACCACTCTGGCTCTCTACTACTTAGATTTTTTGTCTCATTCCCCTGAGGCTGAGAGTATGTGGCTTGCCCATGTTCACCCAGTGGGTTTTACGGCTAAGCAGGGAACCAAACCCTGGTTTCTAGAGTCTTAGTCCAACATTTAAACCACTACGCAACACCGGTTCGCTACTACCTACGGTCGTAGATTTTTTTGCCATTGCCAGTAGATCTTCCCCTGAGGCTGAGAGTCTGTGACTTGCCCAAGGTTGTCCAGTGGGTTTTACGACTGAGCAGAGAATTGAACCCTGGTTTCCAGAGTCACAGTCCAACACCCAAACCACTAAGCTAGCGCCCTGCTACCTAGTAGTAGTATCTTATCAGCTCATAATTTTTGCAGACTTCGTTTCCAAGGTCGGGTTAAATCTGCAATTCTTCCTCTATTGCATCAGGTCTTGAAATCTCTCTCTTTCCCTTTGCAACCAGGTCCCACACTGCCACTCCTTCTGACAGTCACCCACTGCACCATCTGCAAGCGGTTGGCATGTGTGAACCTCCTTGCTGGCATAGTTTCTGGATCACCTCACCTCACCTCCCAACTGTTTCTAATGGAGGAAGTTTGCACATTCATCCGTTAGTCATTTGCGTGATGCCACACTGAGCGATGGATGATGTGCCTGAACTTTATAGGTCCTTGCCTGCTTCTCTTCCTTATTTCAAGAACCTTATTTCCAGCAAAAGTAGGTCCCAAATACCCTAACGGTGCCAGATCCCGTCTGATCTTGGAAGCTAAGCAGGGTCAGCCCTGGTTAGCCCTTGGATGGGAGACCACCGCCAAGGAACACCAGGTGCTCTGAGCACAGTTTCAGAGGAAGGAACCGGCAAAACCACCTCTGAGCCTTCCTTGTGTAAGAAAACCCTGTGAAATTCATGGGGATGCCATAAGGTGACCTGAAGGCACATGCATGCACACACAAAAGCTGGGGAAAGTATATGTGTGGGGGACTCCAACGCACATCATCCCCAAACTACAGGGAAAGAGGTTCCACCGAAACATTAGGAAGAACTTCCTGATGGTGAGATCAGTTTGACAGTGGAAGATGCTGCTTTGGAAAATGGTGGAGGTCTTTAAACAGAGGCTGGATGGCCATCTGCCAGGGATGCTTGGATTGTGAGTTCCTGCATGGCAGAATGGGGTTGGACTGGATGGCCCTTGGGGTCTCATCCAACTCTAGGATTCTATGAGCTGCTGGCCTTTTTTTTTTTAAGCCGTCAGAAGAGGCTTAAAAATGAAGAAGAGACATTGCTGCCACAGAAAAGGTGCATCATTCATTATCCTTGGGCATAGGCTGGGGATGATAGGAGTTGGAACCCCAGCCCTCTGATGGGAAGCCTGCTTTGGGAAGGCTGGTTTAACTGAACCCAAGGCTCATACCAACTGCCCAGATGTGAAGGATGACGTTCAACCGTTGTTCATTAAAAAGGTGCCAGATGTGACCTGCAGGGCCCAATCCACCAGCAAGAGCACAACCTCCTTGGAAACAGATTCAGAATGTTGTTGTTGTTGTTGTTGTGCGCTTTCAAGTCATTTCCAACTCATGGTGACCCTATTGCAGGGTTTTCTTAGCAAGTTTCTTCAGAGGGGTTTGCTATTGTTCGTCCTCTGAGGCTGAGAGAGTGTGACTTGCCCAAGGTCACCCAGTGGGTTTCCATGGCTGATTGCTTGAACTGCCCTGGCTCAGTGCTAGGGATTAATCCTGGGAACTGCAGTTTTGTGAGACATTTAGCCTTCTTTGTCAGA